TTAACATAACAGCAAATGTACAACATTTCGACAAGGTTTTGTCAGGTCCCTGATGATGACAAAACGTTGTCGAAACGGTGTACATTTGCTGTTATGTTAAACTTATGTTAAAGTTTTTCTTCATTACCCATTATTAGTCTCAAAATGGGTTCCTCGTCATCAAATTTGAATACTTATAAGATATTTCAATCTGTGTAATTGAGTAGATCACATTAAAATTCTTTTTAACATTGGTTATGCCAAATTGAATTTTGGCATGGCATGTAAGCAGAGTATCGACCTAAGAGCAAGGAAAGCACGATGATGGAGAAGTGTCATGATGGTTTTGCATCTGGTGAGTCTGAAACTGAGTGGGTTGGTCTGTATAGGATTCTTAGACCTTTGCTAGCCAGAGCAACCCAATCCTAGCTCTGGTCAAAGCCTCCATAGAACATTGGTGATGGATGATGTACACCAGTAGGAGCTATCTCAGTAGTAGGTGGGATGATGTGTACCTAAAGATGAAGTGGACTAGGGTGCGGTATTGAATCTTTCTGAGGCAGGAGGTGTACTACAGAAACAGCCATTGACCATCGAAGAGCTTAGGGTCTTGTATAGCTGTTGGATGAACTGCTAATGGCAATTTGATTCTTTGTCACATTAGATCAGGGACTGATCACTTAGATAAGAGTCGAATTCTCTGAGAGTGCCTACAATGCTGTTCCTGTAATGTCAATAGCATCTTGGTCAGGCTGTGGCCCTAGAAGTCATAAGGGAGAGGTTCTGGCCACAATTTCAGTTCCACTTGAGTGAGATGAAGAAAATTTCCTCAACATTCAAGGATACAGTAAAGGAAGACTGACCATTTCTGGAAGCATTTCAGACAGGTAACCATACAGCTGTGCACTACCCATTCTTAGACAAATTTGTGAAAGAGGTATGCAGTGAAATGATGAGACACCACATTTATGTGAGAAACTTTAGCCTTACTTAAGAATTTCAATGAAGAAAAATTCACAAATAGTGAATAACTTATTAATTAATATTCTGGATAATAATGGGTAATTAATTGTTATGGTATTTCACCTGTTATCCAAACACTGAAAGTATTGTATTAAGAGGTGATTAAAGAATATACATCAAAACCAAACGAAGTAGTCAGAGTTGCTACATACATCTGTGTAGGTTTACAACTATTATTATCAGTTGTTGATCAATACATTAGTTATTAAATTAAAATGCTCTTTTTCATTTATTTAAAATGTTTTGATGTGTAATTTTACAGTACTCTTGGAAGTTGATGCATCCAACAGATCATCATCAGAATAAAGAATGTCCTTATGAAGCTGAAGAATATGAGAGGGTGAGTTGTAAACAACACTTATCAATTTTTTTTAATTTTCTGCCAGCTCTAAAGTGTAGCTTTTTAGTTGCTAAGAAATTATCTCTTGAGAATACAATTAAACAAGTCTTATTTCTCTCCTGATTTTCCTTCTTTGTCTTAATGATTTGTTATTACAGACCTCCATTCATATCACATGTTATGAGGTCATAAAAGGATTGGAATAACTACTAATGAAGAAAAGTTTTGAAAACAACTACAGGAAAAGTTTGAATACCAGTGGATAGAACATATAAATTATTTACATAAGTGTAAAATTAATAAAGTGGTATGAGAAGTAATTTATGGTTTTGAGAGTAAATGATTAGATGTAACTTGTAAGGAATGACAATGGAATTTAGTGGGAAGTTTACAAGACTTAGGAATAAGCCAGAGATCTGGGATTTTTTTATAGTTTCATTAGACATTCGTTTTTTTCTTGAAAATGTTATCATGTTAAATTATATTTGTTAGAAAAGTATGTCAATTTTCTTCTATGGCAAATCATCGGGTAAGCTTTATCCATCTGTGTCTGGGGTGGGTCAAAATGCACATTATAAACTTTTTAGAGTAACATTTAAAATTTAATTAAACAACCTTATTTGAAATATACATCAAAACATGGTTTATAACTAAATTTTTGATATTATTTAAGCTTTAATTTCTTAATTTGAAAAGGAAATATTTAATATATTCTCGATCTTCACTTCTCTGTATCACACGACACTTTTTCACTTCAAATTGCCTGTTTTATATTTTTCTTCTATTCTTATATAGTCTAAGTATCTGATGGATTATATATTTATGCTGTAGATATATCCAAACTTAAATGAAAATCTAAAGCCTTTTAAGCTTCTTGCTTTACTGAGATATATGCAGTAAAGTGAAACTGCCATGCCATGCACCTACTAACACATCCTGTCTTTTGAAATATCTAAATAATTGTCTGTAACATTTGCTGTTGGATTATTTCAAATCAATAAAAAGAGAAGATTACAGCTTAGTGAATGCTATGAGGCTAGGAGCATTCACATGACAAGTTTTGAAAAATACATTCTCAGTTTCATTGTTTGCCATTGTAGAAGCTCAGCTCAACTAGCTATTGGAATTATTTTAACCCATTTATAGCTTAGTCAGAATGTCAGTTAAATTTCATTAGTTTAAGGACATTCTGTTGTTTATGTGTGGCATTATTTTGTATAGTAAATATTTGAATTTTAAAAAAATTATTTGTGAGAGGACAATATCATTTAAAAAAAAAAGAAGTAGGCCTAGTGAATATCAAAGACTTTTTTCTTATGAGAACAAAAGCTTTAAAACAACAAGATTCCACACATGTGCATTAAATTTCTTGTTTTTTTATGTTTGTTGTTATAAAAGTAACCCAAATGTAACTTCTAAGTTAGATGAGAAAAACGTAAGTGAAAAAAATTTACACAAGTTTCTTATGATATCATGCACATTGCACAGCATGATTGTTTAATTCAACATACATTCTGTTAACTTGATATTTTTACACAAAGCTATGCAATAAATATATATCGCTGTGCTCTAAGAATGTCTAAGTGCAACAGTAAAGGAAACATTATAATGACACATGATAATCTGACAGAATCATAATTAATAGACTAGTTCCTAAGCAACTGTTCAAATGCATTTGTGATGTATCAACAGTAGCAGTCAAAATTGAATGCTTCTGCCACTGTAAAAGTTTGTGTCTGCTAAACAGTTGTAACAAATGGAGGGAAAAAGAGGATTGGATGGGCTAGTAATATGCAAAGGCATTAGACTAAATCATAGTTGATAAATTCTTTCCACAATAATCAGGATTTGACTCTTCAGTAATATTCTGCAAAGGATGTTACAAAAATAGTGATAAGGAAGCTAACAACTAGTTCTAAAACTGCTTATCTCAGATGACAGGAAAGCTTGTTTTTTGTGTGTTTACCATGCAAACTAGGAACAGAAATTACTGGAGATGATACATCTGGTGAACTGAGTTTTGTTTTGTTTTGATGATAGAATTATAATCTGGAGAAAACTTCATAAGAATTGTAATTCTGTTTGTGTTGTTACAACAATGTAAGTTGCATGAGGTGGCGAAAAAAAATTATAAGGATCATTCTCATGGCAGGTTTTGTGTTGTTTGAGTCATTTCAAAGATGATTAACATTATAAGTGTATCTCTGTGTTAATTCTAATATCTAGTAAAAATTTCTGCCTTTCTACTGCACTTGTATTGTTTTAAATTGCTTTGGAGAACATGAAAATAACCTTAGTAATACTCTTTTGTCAGCACAAAACTGGATATGCAGATTCTATGTTATCATAGAAATGAAAGATCGACTCAACAAGATATTAAGTGAGAATCTAAATAAAGAGGCTAGTCAGTGTGTGTTATACCAGTGACAGATTTTGAGAATCATTTCCACCCTTTATCTGACTGACAAATGTATAACTGTGTGATACATAGTTGCTGAAGTGTAACAGCAAGTGACTATGTTATTATAAAACTCTTCATTATATTAAATTTTAAGTGACTGTGTATTTATGGAATGATAAATTTAAGCAACTGAGCCCATTAGTATATTCCTTTATTGGGGTGGGGTACGAGTGCACTGAAGCAGTTCACTATGGTTATCAATTGTAAATTTGTACAATATTTTTTTGGCTTATCTTTCTTTCTTCCTCTACAAAAATCACTACATTTTACTTCTTAAGTACTGTGTAAACTGTTTCCTTACTCCAGCAAATCCTTTATTTGTTTCATTGTTCTAAGATTTGGTATGTCAGTTGTACTGAAGGTTTTTAACTTTGTGTTTGTAGGAACTATATTTCTTTTTTTTTTCTGAATAAACATACATCATAAGAAACTCAGATTTACTGATTGTTTTATTTATTGTAAATTTGGTCATCTGCAAACCTTGTTCTGCATATTAAGTTGGTTAACAGGAATCTGTTTTAACAGATTGGTGCTTAAGTGCTTAATCTACTTTAAGTGGATTTGCATAAAGAATGAGATTTACAGAGTGATTTACTTTATTTGATTCTATTTGTGCTGAAAATTTTAAGCTTTAACAAAAAAATGTCACCTTGCTAATTGATACCTATTTTAGGCAACTCGATACAACTACAACAATGAAGAAAAATTTGGATTGATTGAGGTGAGTACAAGTATCATTCTAGAGCCTATTGTATATTACAATTTGTTATTTTATCAGCTGAAATTGATGGGACAATGGACTTTTAGTTTCAAGTATACTGTAATTTACACTCAAGGTTTTTAAAGAATTAAATTTATACCATAATAGTTGTTTTGAGAAACTAATATCAGCATTAGTCTTGTAAGTAAAACGTATTTTGGAAGTACTTTATTTCATGGAGTAATCTTTTGTGTTTAATTTAATGTATCATTTGCTATATAGTTGCCCTGTACAGCACTAGTCAATACAATAGGTATTACAGTAAAACAGTAATTCTGAGAGGATAACTCATTTCGACACACACACAAATGCTATTTCCCTTGTGCATCTACCTATGAGACTTGCATGTCAGTAGCCTTCCACTAACTCCCACCTAATTTCATATGTTTAATTTGAATTGGTTGGTGCATGATGATGTCATCATGTGACAATAGCCCTCCACCAAGGTGGAGACAACAAAACCTTGATCCACAGGAACTCTGCCTATGCACTTCCACTCATGATAACTTCATTCCATTTCTTAACATTACATTGAAGAGATATGTTCAAGTTTCTTGTTTAAGTTCAATATGCATTCGTTAATGAGACTTTGCTTTTCATTTTACATTGGCTTTTGTTTGAAAAGCATTGATTATTATCTTCAATTCTCAAATGATGGTGACTTCTATATAGTACTCTTTGAATGACAATGTTGAATACACATGCCCTTTTTCTATTATGGCTTCTAGAGGTTTGTTGAATGTTGGGGATATTACAACATTGTTCAGTATCTTGTGGATTACCACGAGCTTACTGGGCCTCTTATTCCCATTCCTTCATCCAACTTTCTTTCTCCTCAGTCACAAATGTCCAATTTGACTATGAATTTAACCTGATTTGTTTTGGGCAGTGCCTTACCATTCAAGGAATTACCTTTATCTTCCAGTTTCTTTCTGGTTTTAATTTTCCGGTGTGTTCCTTCCCTTATATTTTGCCTTTATACTTTAATATTGTCTGTTCTTCACTTCATGACCCCACTTCTTGGGATTATTTTGCCTTTCCTCCTTGCTTGTTATTAGGGTTTATACTGTTTCCTTTCCCTAAGAACTCCTCATTCATACCCAAATACCTCGTGTTCATGACAATTTTGTCCTGACTTGATGACATTCTAACTTTCCTTTCTACATTCCCTGTCTTTGGTATCTATTTAGCCTTCTTAGGGATCAGGCCCTTTGTCTTCTGTTTCACTCTCTGGTTCCCCATTTTTGCAACTTCGTCATTCTCTCACCACCCTACTGTATTTTCTCTGATTCCTCCAATTTTTGTTTTTGTTCTAAGACAATCATGCTCCAGCAGGGTTTTCAGTAGAGGTTTGTTCCCTTGTCTTTGTCAGCTTAGCCTGTTCCACTATTTCTGCTCTCTCCATTTTTACTTAGTTATCCTGCTAATGTCCTCATTGGCTTGATTTGTGTTCCTCTTTACTGCACACCTTCCTTCTTCTCATATATGTGGTCTTCATTAGGCTTGCTTTCTTTTCCCAGATGTCTTCTGTGGTATTCATTTCTCACTTGAGACCTGGATTCCATTTGCATGAATTCAGTCCTTCTTATCTTCCCAGGACTTTCTTCTTTTTCATCCTTGCCCTTTGACTCCTGTTTCTCATCTGGATCAGTCTACATCTACCCTTTGCATTCCAGGTTCCAGGTCTTCCTCTTTTTCTTGTCCTCCCACTGCATGACCACTGGTTCATTGTTCTTCTTGTCAGTGACAATACTGTCATACGTTAGGCCCTGTGGTTACCTGTTTCTTCCACTTTACCAGCTTAGTCTTAAGTTTCTGCCATGCCAACAAATGTTTTTCATTTTCTCTCCCATAATTTCTTTGTCTACTTCTCTCTATTCCTCTTCTCATTTCTCTTTCTTCTTTCTCTGACCATATCTATGGTTTTTTTAACCTGGTTTGTGATTGACCATGATCAACGTGCCCAGACACCTTTCTACACATCCCGATTGCCTCATTCTCCAGATGTTTTCTACATTATGTCTATGAGATTTGTATTTTCAATTCCTTGATCTTCCCTTTGACATAGCATCAGCTCCTTTTGTACTAATTTGTACCATAAGGGCCTTCATTTGCCATTTTCATGACCTGGGGATGTCTTTCCTTTTCTCAGACAGTTGGTTTCTCTTGGCCCATTCTCAGATGCTTTCCTCTTCTTACACCTCTTTCAAAATATCCAAATATTTTCTCATTCCCACTCAGTATTTGGAAAATCTGGACATTTTCTTCATCTATTGTCTCAGCCAAGCTCAGCCTTCTCCTTTTTTTCCTGCAAGCTATGGAATATATAGTTACCAGATTCGATGACGAGGAACCCACTTTGAGACTAATAATGGCTGGAGACGGCTTGAATGGGTAATGAAGAAAAACTTTAATATAACAGCAAATGTACAACGTTTCGACAAGGTTTTGTCATCATCAGGTACCTTTATTCTTCTATATTTATTGGATGTGTCTATCAACTTCTCCTGTTGGTTTATTATTCGTTGGATGCTTGCAGGCTATTTCACATTTTTTTGTATCCAATTCATCTCCTCCTCATTTTCTTGCTTCTCATTTCATTGATACTTGGACAAGATTCTCCAGATAGGCATATGGACAGTTTCTACCAAAATGCATACTTTAATCAACCGACCTTCTTTGAGATGGGTAATTGTGTTTCCCTTTAATTTCTTTCTCTTTTCGTCAAACAGGATCCTGTTAAGTGTATAGTGTTGACTCCAGGTATGTGCTTATTTCTCAATTTTACAAAATCCCCATCAATCCAGGATAATGGAAAATGTTCAGCCCATCCATCCTGGCTCTAACAGTGCCCACTGTGAAATGGGGTGTTCCACAAGACCACTTGAGATATCCTTGTGTTATACAAATTTACTCAGTTGTCCATTCCAGAACATACCAATTCTTTGAACTAATTTTGAAAAATTAAGCACCAGAGAAGTGGCTACCCACTTTTCTGGCTCACACTTGCTTGCTTTTGTGAATAGGGTTTTGCCGTCACCCATTGCGCTTTCTTGGTAAAACTGGTAGTCCAGTGGGGATTCAGACACTTCTCTGGGCCTCCCCAGTGCAAATTCTCCCTCTTCAGTCTTGTTCAAGCAGAGAACAGGAGTCCCTTGCCACTTACATTCCTAGCTGCTGGGTTGGTGGACCATGGAGAATCTTCACTGGTTGGACTTGGCACAATATGGCGAAAAGTAGGGCAGTGGTGACAGTGTCATTGTAGTACAGGTCACTCCTCACACAATTAACCCTGCTGCAATGGGTTTCCCTTTAAACTCCTTCTATGCAAGTCACTGAGGTACATTCAAAATTTAATTAAACAACTTCACTATCAAAGTACGTCAATGAAATTAACATTATAATGTATGTTATAAGTGGAAGTTTTATGTTATGTAAGTTTTAATTCCTTTATTTTAAATGAAACCTTGAAAAAGTACTTAAACTTCAGTTTTATTCTTAGATGATGCACAAGCATTCATAAATCTGAACTTTCACAATCTCTAACTTGAATCAGACAACTACAGTGTCTATAGACATATGTCTAAATAAAAACTACATTTACTGTGCTACTTACATGTGTGTGTTCCAAAATCCCAATGTTTCAAAAAATAAATTTTGCTAACCCCTGACCAGTGTTCTCTTTGAGCTGTGTGGCCACACAACAACCAATCAAGTGCTGCACATTTCATTATTCTAGCCGCACACATCATCAGTAATGGTGAAGAGTCTCAACACATTGTCGGCCTCAATGACCCTAGCATTCAATAGGCCTAAAGTCCAAAAAACCAACTGGTAGCATTGCAAAGTGGCCTAAAGATTCAATAGGGTCAATGGTCTAAAAATACATCCCCCCTCCCCTATTAAAAGAAATGGTAGCACACTTCTGCACATTGCTTTGATATTAATGATGCACATGAAAAAATTTGAGGGAACATTGCCCCTGACTGTTGCTATGACCACCTTCTATACTTAGCCTTGAGATGTACAGCCACATGTACTTATTTGATGCACATGTTTAGAAAGAGCTCATATAAGAGCTTGCTATAGTCTAACATTGGTTGTTTTGAAATTGGCACACAGTGTTTGTCATCAGGTAGATGTAATTTCTAGTAGTATGGCTGTTGTTTGTTTCTTACCTAAATATGTTATATGCAGTTGGAGAGACAGTTCAATTTATTGAGGTTTTACTTTTATATTTTAGTTAATTATGTATTATTTATGTTTCAAAATGCATAATTGAAAGGTTTAAACATTTTTCAAATATATTTCAAACTTTGCCTTAGTTCTCAAGGCTTATGATATTATGTGGGTACAAAATAATTTTGCCAAAAGTGTGCTGACAAAAATACTGTAGTATGCCTTGAGGGCACCATTGACTTGTTTTGAGATGAATAATAAATGGTGAAGGACAGGAAAAGAAAAGAAAATATTAAAAATTAAGTATATGTGAAAAGGAAATGACCTGAAATTACAGATATAACCAAAAAATAATAATTTAAGATATTCTACAAAAAATTAAAAATTATGTACATTTTATCTTTCATAATTTTAGACATTTCATTGCACTGTTTTTTGATGATAATATCTACATTTAGTGATATGGTAAAGTAAAAGTAAAATGAAATATAAAAATTTACCTTATCAAAACTTTCAATATTTATTTAGGAGCAGGGCCAGACCTAGAGTACAGGGGACCTGGGTGCAAGAATTAATGGTGCCCCCCCCCCCCCCCTGCTACAATGTGCTACAATATGCATGAGAGAGAGGGAGATTAGAGACAAAAAAAATGTAACCACGCATTATGCAACTGAAATTCAATTTTAATTATGACCTCCCAGTCTTCAAACATAAAAAAATGGAAGCAAATGTAGTAATAACCATGAAAAAGAAAATGTACTTACAAAATGCTAGTTCAAGTG